CTGCCCGGGACGTGCGCTCGGTCCCGCGGAGGGAGGCGTTCTCCCTCCCGGGGCGGCTGCACCGAAGGACAAAACATGCTCCTTCCCTCCCGCGCCGGCGGGAGGGGCAGCCCAGGGGCCACTGCGCTGCTCCACACGGACGGGCACGCCCCCGATTCAGACCGAGCCCGCGCTCAGCCTCGGCCTCCACTGGCCTCCCTTGGCCCGGTCCCTTGTGGGTAATCTCGGCGAGCGAGAGGAAGCCAGCGCGAGGTGCGGCTAGAGCGTCCGTCCCAACTCGTATGCTCGGCGGCCTTGGCAGCTAGAGCGTCCTCCCCAACTCGTATCCTTGGCGGCCCGGACAGCTAGAGCGTCCCTCTCAGCTCATATGCTCGGCGGACCCGGCGGCTAGAGTGTCCTCCCCAGCGCGTGTACTTGGCTGCTCTGGCAGCTAGAGCGTCCCTCCTCCGGGGAGCCTCGTGTGACCTTCCCGCCGGTGGAGCGATGCTGCCGGCGGCTGCTCGCCCCCTATGGGGGCCGTGTCTAGTGCTTAGGGGTGCCGCGCTCCGCTTCGCCAGGTACCGCGGGCTGCCGAGGGCCGGGCGGGCAGAGGGTAGTCCTCAGCCGGCCACCGATGGTTCAGGTCGGGGCAGCAGGCGGGACGTGGAGACACCCCCCCCCCCTCCCGTGTGGGCCGCGGAGAGTGCCGGGGTGGCCTCAGATCACAGGAGACGGGTTCCGCCTTTGCCCGGGCCTCAGTTTCCCCCGCAGCCCTGTGACGTGTAGGACCCCCACCAGTGCATCCGGCGCTCGGGTTCTGAAAGGCTTTGTGCAGCAAAGTGCATTTACGTGATTGCGTTACCCGTGAGCTGCTACGGTTCATTCAAACCAGGAAGTTGTTAAGGGCAACATCCTGCAATAATAATGATGATAATAATAACGAGGGTTTCTAAGGCTTGTGAAGAATATAAAATATAAAGTAGCGGGGAAACCCCCTTGCTCTCGACGCGGAGCCTGGAGGCCGAGAACCCTGGGTTGGGACCAAGGGGCTAGACGTGAGCTCGTGGCACCCACCTGCATGGACTGCCCGTCACCCGCCTGTGCCGGCTGACCGCTCTGTTTGCATGGGGTCTAGGCAACAGGTGCCGCGCGTCAGCACCGTGCGGCTGATGCGATGCAGCAGCCATCGGAGGGGAGAGGCCCTCGCCGGCGCACCCCTAGATAACGCCCCCAAGGAGTACCCCCCCAAGATCCAGCAGCTGGTCCAGGACATTGCCAGCCTCACGCTCCTGGAGATCTCAGACCTCAATGAGCTCCTGAAGGTATCGCCGGCCGGGCCTGGGCAGTGGGGTCTGGGGCTTGTGTCTTGCTCCTGGTGTATGTTGGGGGGAGGGTTTGGTCAGTTGTGGGAAGTGTGCTCCCTGGGTGCAGGGGTGTGCCGGGCTCGTCCCAGCGCGTGTGTGGGTGTGACCGCCAGCTTCTGAGACTGTCTCCTCTGTCCCTGCAGAAAACGCTCAAGATCCAGGAGGTGGGGCTCATGCCCATGGGGGGCGCGATGCCCGCTGCTGCCCCTGCCGCCGCAGCCCCCGAGGTGAGCCAGGCGCTGGCCTGCGCAGCGACCTGTTTCTCTGGTGCCGGGTTCCCCGCTCCCCTCACGTCCTGGATTCTCTCTGTCCCTCGCCTCTGTCCTGCGCCAGTCCACACGCCCCGCGCCTCCCTGCGCTTCCAGCCGAGGCTCTGGTCAGCCTCCCTGGGGCCGAGGATGGGCAGGGCCCTGCCCACGGGGGACCTGTGTCCAGTGGGGACTGTTTCCAGGGGAGGGAAACAATGAGCCGCCGGAAGGGAAAGGACAGGAAGAGGTTGTGTTGAATAGTAGGACTTGCTAAGTTCTGCGGGGCTTAGGGAAGAAGCTGGGGGGAGGGGAGGGTGACAGGTCGGGGGAAGGCCCCGAGGAGAGGAGCCTGAGGAGTGGAGGGAGACGGCAAGGCATTCCCGGCCCGCGGGCCATGAGCGTGTCCAGGGCTGGAGTGGAGCGGGGAGGTGGGAGCAGCTCCGCGGGCTTGGGGGTCTGCGTGGAAACCAGCAGACTTGAAGCCGCACACTAATTTGCAGGGTTTTGTTGTTGCTTTTTTGTATGTGTGTGTGTGTTTTTCAATATTTGTTATTTTTTAAAATCTCCAATTACCCACAAGTAGAAATAATCACACCCTCACCGGCCTTAGAAATAACTAAGGTTTTGCCACATGTGTGTCTCCTTCCCTGAAGCTGCAGGCAGGTTTCCGGCCTGTCCTCTCTCCTGGGGCCCTGCACACCCCTCTCTGACAGCACCGGTAGCCTGGCACCATTTGCACAGCAGAGGGCATTGGCCTTGACTCCGATCCCAACTCTTCCCATGTCAGGAGCTCCGCCACCCCCGCAGCCTCTTGGCGAAGGCGGGGGCTGAGCTGGTGGCGTTGGAGCTGGACACGGCGCTGGCTTGGCCGGGGCTGGAACGGCGCTGCTGCTCTATCATGTCGTTTCGCCCTCAGAGCACTTCTGGGGTTGCTCTTCCCTGTCTCACAAGAGGATGAGTTTGGGGGCCGGGGAGGGAGGCAGTCATCACAGCCTCTGGAGGGCTGGGAAGGGTTCTGGGTGGTGGAACCCAGTCTGACCGAGGAGTGGACGAGGTGGGGGAGGCACCGAGTGGGAGGGGCGACCGGCCGGGCGTCTCTCCTGCCAGAATCGTGGGGACCCGCAGCCAGGGAGCAGAGGTGCCTGCTCCCCTCGAACTCCCTCACCCAGCCCCGCCCCCCTCCCCAGGCGGTGGAGGAAGAAGATGTCCCCAAGCAAAAGGAGCAGACACATTTCACCGTCCGCCTGACCGAGGCGAAGCCGGTGGACAAAGTGAAGCTGATCAAGGAGATCAAGAACTACGTCCAGGGCATCAACCTCGTGCAGGTGAGTGCGGGGCCCCTGCGGGCGGGCTGGGCGCGGGAGCCGGGCGGCGTCTGACTCGGCTCTCGCCTCTCCGCAGGCGAAGAAGCTGGTGGAGTCGCTGCCCCAGGAAATCAAAGCCAACGTCGCCAAGGCCGAGGCGGAGAAGATCAAGGCGGCGCTGGAGGCGGTGGGCGGCACCGTGGTCCTGGAGTAGGCTCCCTGAGAACTGTGGACAGGGGTCCCTGGGACCCGGGAGAGGCCCGGCCGCCCCGCCCAGCACCCAGGCTCAGCTGACCAGCACCTCAGAGCAGAAGGGCACACCCACCCACTACTGCGTGGCAGCCGGGCCCTGGATCAGGCATGGACCTACCGAGCGGGCAGCGGGCAGCGGGCAGCGCTGCCTGTGGGCACCCGGCCTGACTCTGGACCGCCCCCGGGTTTACCACGCGCCCCCTGGTGGCCGCTGAGAAAATACATGGTTTGGGCCATGCTGGCTGCTTCTGTGTCCTGGGCAGCGGGAGGGGCTCTGCAGGTGATCAGCAGCATTAACCATCCTGCCCCGTGCCAGACCTTCACCCAGGAGCTGGGTGTGCAGCTCCCGCCCCGGCCAGCAGGGGTGAGGCTGTGCCCCAGGGCCTTGGGCCAGAGCAGGAAGGGGGGAGCGGGAGGGGGGCTGCAGTGTGCCGGGACCCCCCCAGCTTTGCCTGTTGGAAGGATGACCTGCAAGTTGTGTGGGACCAGAGGGGGCACTCTGTCCAGGAGTCGGCCTCTGGTGGGGCAGCTCCTGGGTGGGCGAGCCCAGCAGTTCCCAAGCCCCGGGGCTGGCCCCCCCACCTGCACCTCCCGTGTGTGCTCCCCCTGGACCTCGTCAGTCTAAGGAGGCGGGAAGGCTGCCCCCTGACCCACAGAGCTGCCCTGCCCGCCCCAGGGTTAATGATTCTCCATCAGCAGATCTCTGGGTGCACCTTTCCCCCGGAAGTGGCTGCTGGGCCACCTGGGGCCGGGCATGGCCTGCTGAGCTGCCTGCCTGGGGGGCGGAGGGGGCTGGGGGAAGAAGTGGGCTGAGCTCGGACCCTCGTCTGCTTTCCCAGGGAGTCAGGGGCACAGCTGGGGTGATGGGGCCTCTGCCTCATCCCGTGGTCACTGCTCAGAGGGAGTGATCCTGCCTCTGGGCCCTGGAACCAAGTGCCTTCTGTGCGCCAGGCGCGGCCGGCACCTGATCTGCTTGGTGCTCTGCACCCACTCACAGTCAGGGCCCTGGGGGTCCCGCCCCCCACACTCCTGGCTCCCCCCGGATGTGCTGCAGCCTGCAGGTGGCCCAGACAGTGTCAGACCTGGGGACCCCGGTGGCCTGTGCCCCAGGGATGGCCCTGGTCCTGGGAGGGGGATCTGTGGGTCCCGAGTTCCCTGCTGGTGCCCACACAGCACCTGACAAGACCCCATCGGATCCCAGGAGGAATTAGCACTCATGCTCTCTGCCCAGCCTGACGAGGTCACGGGACACGGCTGAGGGAGCTGGAGCTGACTCGTGCCTCCTGCCCCCACCGACCTCCCCTTCCAGGGAGCCTGGTGTCTGCCAGGCCACCCACGTGGCTCCGTCCTCCCTGCTGGGCTTCAGGCTCCCGGAGAAAGTGCAGACGCCCCCGAACAGACCCCGGGCCCCACCCGGGAGCCCAGCCTGGCCGGCAGCCCTGGCCTCGGACGTGCCTGTCTGCCCGGCAGCTCTGGGCGTGTGGCCAGGCTGGGCTCCGTGTGACCCCGCGCGGCGTCCTCAGTCCCTGACCCGCAGTGTCCGTGCATTTCCCACCTCCCGGGCTCTGACCGGCTTTGCCAGGAACCGCATTTCAGATGCTGCTCTTTGCATTTTTATTCTTAGTGTCCAGGCTGCTGAGCCTCCCGCCAGCCCCTCCCAATGTGAGGACGGTCCCCAGCGTGAGTGCTGGGGGTCCCTGCAAGCGGGTCCCAGTCCAGCCCTCACTCCCCTCGGGCCTGGCCCCGTGCTGACTGGGGGACCCCAGAGGGTTCAGAGACCCCAGCTCATCCGCTTCCCCCTGGGGCTGATCCCAACAGAATGGGGCAGGGAGTGGGTCCGGGGCACCTCACCCGCCCCCCCACACACACACACCTGGCAGGGACCACGCCTCCTGCCTCCTGGCCGCTTCGTCCTGGTTTTCTGTTTGCTAGGAATTGATTTAGAGAGAAACACTGACTTCCGCCCACCTGTGCATTCACTGGCTGGGCCTGTAGGTGCCCTGGTGCTCGGGGAGGACACTGACCGCGCATCCAGGCCAGGGCAGCTCTGGCTCTGACCTCAGAGCCTGTGCATCACTGAGAGCCACTCCACTTCCTGGTGGGAACACCCCCCCGCCCCCCCCCCCGTTTCCTCCCGGGAATTCCTGCCACCCTCTTCCCCGGGCGAGCCCCTGGGTGGTGTTTTTGCCTAGTTTGCATCTGACATCTTTTAAAAAAGAACCACACCCCAGGACACGCTTATCGAGAGGACGGGAAAGGGAAGCCCGGATGTGAGAAACCTGGATGCGCTGCCTTCCACGTGCGCCCTGACCCTGACGGGAATCAAACCAGCAACCCTCTGGGCACAGGAACCGGCTGGGCCAGCTGAGCCCCTCCAGGCCCGCGGACATCAATCCCTCCCCCTTCAGATCAGACAGCTGCCCCGGTGCCAACGGCCCCTCCCCCTGCCCCCTGGATCCCAGCATTTCCGGGCAGGACACCACCTGCTCTTCACTGCCCAGCGATGACCTCAGGGTCAGAGGCCGGGTGGGGGGCTCCGGAAGACCTGGCTCCTGAGTCTCCAAGTGGCCGCTCCAGTTAAGCGGATGAATAGATGGCGGGTTTGCTCACATCCTGGAGACCGGCTGGTGCCGAGGCCATGAGGCCAGGCTCTGCGGGTTCAGGGGACCAGGAGCGGTTTCCCCGGTGCTCCTCCCCCTTCTCCCTTGGGCTGGGGGCTGCAGTGGCCGAGCCGCAGGTCCTGCCCTGGGGGAGGGGTCTGGCTGTGCCCCCCTGAGATCGGAGGTTGCCCGGCAGAGAACGCCTGGGCCCCCAAGATCCTGCCTGGAAGTGGTCCTGGGGACGCGGCCCCTCTCTGGGCTGGGGGCCC